GACACTTAAAGTTTTAGTCAATTCATATTTTGCTTGAAAAAGAGCAAATAAAAAAGTGTTAAGGTTTGAATGAGTTTGTTGGACATGTTGGTATCAGTGTCAGGTCTTTCCTTGCCCCCCCTCCACTCCCCCATATTGTACCGTGCTGCCTCTCCTATTCATTTGTTTTCTTTCTAATGAAGGGCCCTGCATTTGTTGTGGTCAGAGGGCCGTGTAAACAGAGGCCCCCGTGACCCCCCGCCCCCCCCCAAACACACTCCTCCTGCCCATTAGTGGGGTCTTAATGAAGAGGGGGCGCACACGCTGATTTAAAACGCTCCTGTGGCGCCAAGTGCGTTCCCTTTCATGGCGCCCAAGAGAGGGGGGTTTTGTTTGAACCTTTATTCATGCAGGGGGGGGGGGGGTGATGGTGAGACACGTGCCCCCTTAAAGCTGATCACACACACTGATTTACATAAACATCAGATTCAGGTTTAGAACCGTTTAGTTTTACTCATACACCGAGTCATGTGCACATGTACAGTTGTATTCAACTTGTATTTGTTACACTTCCCTCTCATGCTTCAGTGGAGTTCCTGGTTCAAAAGGAACATCTTAATTAAAGTTTTTAATGCCCAACTACCAACATTATACCTTCAGAAAATAAAGAAAATTCTGATTAGCATGATTTACTAAAACCTAGATTGTTTTTTTGTCGTGTTTCAAGGAATTGAAATTCCTGATCGTTGCCTTGCTAACAATAGTTGCATAACGTCTGTCTTTTCAAAGCTGCCGTTCATTCTGAGATTGAGTTCCTCCTCTCCAGACAGACATTTGTTTTCATACATTTAAATTATTATTTTTTAAATCAGATCAATTTAAACAGAGCTCTCTGGAGTATTGGTGATCCATCAGGTTAACATTTATCCGCCTTTATTTATCTTCAAAGATAATGCAGTTTAGAGAATGGATTCACCTCCAACATGTTAGATTCAAAACCTGATTTAAAAGCAGAGTTTTCTAAAGCGTCGCTGAATCTCCTGCTGCAATAATGTACGGTGTAAGTTATCAACATAGACAGAAATATAAAGTATAGACGCTTTTTAATAACTTTAACTTGAGTACATTTTGAATGCCAGACAACAAAGTATTTCTGGTATTATACTCTTACTTTAAAGAGTCCTCTCCTGCTGATGTTCAGGTGTATATCAGTATGTAGTGTCTCTACTTTAAAGAGTCCTCTCCTGCTGATGTTCAGGTGTATATCGGTATGTAGTGTTTCTACTTTAAAGAGTCCTCTCCTCCTGATGTTCAGGTGTATATCAGTATGTAGTGTTTCTACTTTAAAGAGTCCTCTCCTGCTGATGTTCAGGTGTATATCAGTATGTAGTGTCTCTACTTTAAAGAGTCCTCTCCTCCTGATGTTCAGGTGTATATCAGTATGTAGTGTTTCTACTTTAAAGAGTCCTCTCCTGCTGATGTTCAGGTGTATATCAGTATGTAGTGTCTCTACTTTAAAGAGTCCTCTCCTGCTGATGTTCAGGTGTATATCGGTATGTAGTGTCTCTACTTTAAAGAGTCCTCTCCTGCTGATGTTCAGGTGTATATCAGTATGTAGTGTCTCTACTTTAAAGAGTCCTCTCCTGCTGATGTGCAGGTGTATATCAGTATGTAGTGTCTCTACTTTAAAGAGTCCTCTCCTGCTGATGTTCAGGTGTATATCAGTATGTAGTGTATCTACTTTAAAGAGTCCTCTCCTGCTGATGTTCAGGTGTATATCAGTATGTAGTGTCTCTACTTTAAAGAGTCCTCTCCTGCTGATGTTCAGGTGTATATCAGTATGTAGTGTCTCTACTTTAAAGAGTCCTCTCCTGCTGATGTTCAGGTGTATATCAGTAGTGTCTCTACTTTAAAGAGTCCTCTCCTGCTGATGTTCAGGTGTATATCAGTATGTAGTGTCTCTACTTTAAAGAGTCCTCTCCTGCTGATGTTCAGTTGTATATCAGTATGTAGTGTCTCTACTTTAAAGAGTCCTCTCCTGCTGATGTTCAGTTGTATATCAGTATATAGTGTCTCTACTTTAAAGAGTCCTCTCCTGCTGATGTTCAGTTGTATATCAGTATGTAGTGTCTCTACTTTAAAGAGTCCTCTCCTGCTGATGTTCAGGTGTATATCAGTAGTGCCTCTACTTTAAAGAGTCCTCTCCTGCTGATGTTCAGGTGTATATCAGTATGTAGTGTCTCTACTTTAAAGAGTCCTCTCCTGCTGATGTTCAGTTGTATATCAGTATGTAGTGTCTCTACTTTAAAGAGTCCTCTCCTGCTGATGTTCAGGTGTATATCAGTAGTGTCTCTACTTTAAAGAGTCCTCTCCTGCTGATGTTCAGTTGTATATCAGTATCTAGTGTCTCTACTTTAAAGAGTCCTCTCCTGCTGATGTTCAGGTGTATATCAGTATGTAGTGTCTCTACTTTAAAGAGTCCTCTCCTGCTGATGTTCAGGTGTATATCAGTATCTAGTGTCTCTACTTTAAAGAGTCCTCTCCTGCTGATGTTCAGGTGTATATCAGTAGTGTCTCTACTTTAAAGAGTCCTCTCCTGCTGATGTTCAGTTGTATATCAGTATCTAGTGTCTCTACTTTAAAGAGTCCTCTCCTGCTGATGTTCAGGTGTATATCAGCATGTAGGGTCTCTACTGGGACATGTCTCCATGCTTTAATGTGCTGCAGCACCTCTTTTCACCCTCCGTCTGAAACCAGAGCCCAGTCTGCTCTGATTGGTTAGCTGGTCGGTTCTGTTGTGATTGGTCGACCAGATGTCTTAGAGACGTACAATGTGTTGGAGGACTAGCCAATAGAAGCGCAAGTGTTAAATAATGATGTCAATATGAAGTCAACAAAGGAGGCGTTTCAGGCGGGGGGGGGGGGCGGGGGGGATTTTATCCTCTGCAGACCATTTACATGCACTAAAACCTATAAAACTCTCACTTATCAAGAGCATAAACCCAATTAAAAGGCAAGATTGAGACAAAACTCCACAACAGACTCTCTTCAGATCATAAACCACGGTTATTAAAATGGCGCCTCCCCCCTCCTGATGAAGAGAGGAGATCATTTTGAATCAGTTTTAATAACATCGTAAAAGAGCTCGCTGAGATATAGATAGCTAGATAGAATCTTTATTTATCACAAGATGTGGAAATTATTGTATTATTAAATATAAATCGTATGTTCCCCTCCCACACTAAAAACTCCCACAATGCAGTGTGTTCTGCTCCATGTTGCTTAAGGACTGACACACAGATTTGTATTTAACAACAACAACAGGAAGACACATTTTTACAGCTGATATTTAGCTTAATTGAAGCATCCGAAATCGACTATTTAATGTTAATTTATCAATATCTGGTATTTTGCATGTCCCAATAGAAATAGAAAACAGAGATATGAACCTGAAAATGACCAAATTAAGCCTATTTTTTTATAAAAAGGTCAAAAATAGTAAGAAATACTCAATATTTGCCGTTTTAACTCAAAAGATTGGGAAGAAATTGGGGTGTCACCAGATTTGGAGATATACTGTACGTACAATAACAAGTGTAATGTGATCTTTCCTTAGACCACTTTATAAAGACCAGAAAGCCCAAAATATAATATAAAAAAGGTACAGTATATTACACATGCTCTACTACTCGATGTATTTCAGGTAAGGCATGACATAGATTAAACTGATCCCAAATCAGCGCAGTGAGTAATGGAGTTAATCAGGTCCATAATGGAAAGACTCATTAGACATTCATCCAGTTATTATGTATGTAACTATTATATAAATGAATCATTTGATGCAGAATATTGATGAAAAAGCTTTTATTACAAGATGAGATGATTAATTAGGAGCTCTGCAGATGTGTAGCCGTAGAAACAAAACTACATCTGACTAATTCATTTAGCTTTCGACTAACAGACGAGCGTTTTGATGAATGAAAGTGATGTTAAAATGTGAAGGGCAACAGTGAATTAGATTTAAATACATTTATTGGATTTAAAACCGTCATTTGTTCATTTGTAACTTATTTTTATGAATTTAGCTTTAAAACCCTTCTGTTGTCTTCGGGTCAAATCTGACCGATTTACTACTTTCATCAATCATAACTTTTTTGTTTTACGTTCGATTGCATTCAGGCTTCATGATATCCTTCACAGCAGACATTTGAACATATAAAATGGCTGATCACGGCTTTCATTGAATTTTGGATGATTTAGTCAACTTTGTAACACCCGTGGTGTTCCCGGTCAAAAATGACCGCCATTAAGAAAAGGAATTAGTAACCATCCGGATCAGATCACACACACACACCTGGCACACACACACAAACACACACACACAGAACAATTTGACACATTTCCCGCTCTTATGTGCCCCTCCCCCCACATGGATCACACCTGGCACACGCAATACATGTTCAGTGTCTATTCTTTGTATATTTACTGCAGTTGTTCATGTATACCAGTAGTCTGATACAATATGTACAGTTTGAAAGGGTGTGAAATGAAATGTGGTGATGATTAATGGTTTTTGTGTTAATGTAATAGCAGTTAAAACAGGACCGGTCAAATTTGACCGCGAACACCAAAGTAAGGGGGGGGGAACGAAGACAATAGGAGGGTTAAATAACTGATTGATTTCATCATAGTTTCATTTATATATGTCAGCTTATTGAATACCAGATAATGACAATTGACGATCAAAGGAGAAATACGTTTAATAGCTTGAGTAAAGTTGAGGCTAAAACTTGTACATATTAAGCATTTTTCTTAATTACTTACTATTCATCATAAGTGTCATTGAAAAATGTCTCACAATTACATTTTGAAAAAACTCAAGCATCTGTGAAAACACGATGTCTTTAAACGCGAGATCTTTCCGATTGTCCAACATAAAACAGTCTACAGACATCCTGAAATGTGCCGTGTCACCGTACGACAGCCCTGACTCCTCCCCTTTTCTCTCCTCTCTCCCGCAGGAGCTGTGTCGGCAGCGCATGGCGGTGAAACCTCCGACGGAGCGCAGCGAGCCGATCTCCTCCAGGATCAACAGCGTGTCGTCTCAGTTCAGCGATGGAGGTCCGGCCGTCAGCCCCTCGGCTCGCAGCAGCATCTCCTCCTGGAGCGAGGAGCCCGCTCACCACAACATGGACATCTCCACCGGACACATGATCCTGGTGAGTGTCCACAAATGAATATCCTCTTAAAAAGCTGTTGGGAGAATACTGAATGTCCTCTTCCAATATCAGAGTAACATGATAACAAAGGCATCCCAACTGAAGCTGAGTTCATGACAGGATGTGTGATTACCTAGAAGAGCATCAGGACTGTTTGAGGCATATGATAGCTATGTGATTAACATGATGATTCAGTCCTGTGCCTTGCTCAAGGGCACCACCAGCTTTCTACCTCTGGCTTTTTACATTTTTCTTAACATTTCTCCTACATCTGGCTGCAAAAAAGGCCAACATATGATTATCTGACATGGTAGCTTTCTATGGAAGCTTTCTAGAAAAGGTGAGTGTCCTACTGAGCTGAAGCTATTGCTTATAATATAAACACTTGATTAGTGACCTAATAAAAGTGACCTAATAAAACCCCAGGTCAGTTTGTTTCCCATCCCACAGACACCCTTATCTTGCGGTGTTATAAGACACTTTATCCTAAACATGAACAAATCTACAAAATACAGTACTTTAGGATTTCCTAAAAGTTACATTGTAAACACCGTTAATGTCAATGGCACATTCTTAGAGTAATTCATAGGTTTATTCCTAGTAAATAACTCAAAAATAAACAAGATGCTGTGATGGTGACATTAGAAAAGTTGTACCTGATAGATCTAGAGCACATGTGTCAAACTCAAGGCCCGGGGGCCAAATCAGGCCCGTGGTGGATTTCATTTCGGCCCGCAGGATAATTTCAAATTACTCTTTAATGTTTAATGTTGTTTTTATAGGCAATCATTTAAGCTTTTCATTTCAATAAGTTCTGTAATAAACATTGAACCAGTCCGGCCCTCGACTAGTACCCATTTTTTTTATTTTGGCCCACTGAGTATTTGAGTTTGACCCCCCTGAAGGATGCATTAAAGCTGAGGGTTGTGTTTCGATTTTGTTCAATATCCTGCGATGACTCGTGATTTAAAATGTATTTGTGTCCTGACTGAATCACTGGGACTGCCATTAATGTGAACATTTAATCCACCTCCATATTTCCATCAAAATGACTCCCCATTTAAAAAAGAAGAGGATTAAACTGAATTTAAAACACATGTTGGCATTGTGGGATTTAAAAGAATGATCTGTCGCTGAAAAAACACACATTTAACTTTCAATGATTGCCTCTTTTAGTATAGGTAATTACTGTTTGAATCCCAATGTGTTGGAGCGCTAGCCAATAGAAGCGCTTGTGTTACATAGTGATACAAAAGGAGTCCAATGGAGACGTTTGAGGCAGAGAGAGAAACTCAGAACACAGGGATTTTAGTCTCTGCAGGCCATTTACATGCACTAAAACCTACATAAACCACTACAGTAAATGGAGAACCCACACAAAGCACAATAGGGCCAGTTTAACCCTTAGATGCCCGAGTGACTGGACCTACACTCTTCCACAAGTGGGTCAAAAAGGACCTGTATTAGAATAATAAGTGGGTTTTTTTCATTTCTGTCATTTTGGTTAAGAAAAATCACTTAATAATAATATAATATTTAGTATTATATTTTGGTTCACACTAGAAATATTTTATATTTAATTTTTCACTATTTATAGTTATAGAAAAAAAAGGTTTTCGATGCAAAGATCTCCGCTATTCTGAGACCCTCACAGTATTCCAGTCCCTTTTCAAAACTCATCTCTTCTCTGTCTACTCACCAGTAGCCCACCCCCCATTAATCCATGCAGGTTGATCAAGTTTGATAGTCCCCCCCCCCACCCTAACCTTCCCTTATATTGTAAAGTGATTATGAGTCCTTGAAAAGCCTTATTAGCCACAAATATAATGTATTATTATTATACTGACAGGTATCAAATCTTGCTGTGTAAAATAATCTTCCTGAGAGGTGTCACTTGTGATGTCGTCTGTGTGTCCTACAGTGAATGTAGTCCTGACAGCAACAGGTAATAAGAATCAAAGGTTCCCAGAGGATCCCATAGGAAATGCATTTTTGACCCACTTATGGAAGCTTGGGGTAGAAATACAAAAACTACAATTTCTTAAAATTTACAAAATTTAAATTTAAAATTTGAATGGCATGATATCCAAAACATGTTTTTTGAGGAATAGCTGGAATATGAAATGATACAAAAATGTAATTACAAAGATACTTCAAGAAAACCACCTCACCGGGTCAAAAAAGACCCACTTATGCATCTAAGGGTTAACTGATGTAATGACTAAAAGTCTGACCAGAAACGAATGGACTACTAAAGAAAGGAAGTACATTTTTAAGGAAGGACCTCATTAGTGAATGCTTTAGAACAAATAGTTTTCCAGCCTTAAAAATATGTCTTATTTTGCGCTCATCCCTCCTGTGTGCAAGCCGTGCCAGGGAGAGCTGTGTAGGCGGGGTACTGAACAGAGCTGCAGTTGTTATTGTGCGCTAGAGGCAAAGAAAAATCCGTGAAAAATTGGGACAGAAGCGGCCACGAAGTGCACGGACGAGACGGATGAAGCTACTCTTAAATCGACATACTTAAGATAACGGCTCCCAGGAACCATTACCGCAGCTTCTGTGTTAATTTAAAATTACATTAGCGGGATGGAAACCTCCCTCTCTGCTAAATGGTTATAGCAAAACAAAATACCCCCCCTAAATCCCAAGAAGAAGAAGTTGGCTTACATTAAAATGAGGTCAGAGTGAATAATTAAGTGGAAATAATTCAGTCTTATTATCAGGTTCAGTTCATCCCCCAATAACAACGCTGATATTACAAAATGAGGAACATTGCATGAAGAAAAGACTGAATTATTCTTGCCTTTAAATTCCTACAGCATTGCTTTTTACATTTCTGGTTGTTTGTATGTCTTTCCAAAGACAGATTGAATACGATTTATTTTGTACTTATTATTAAAAAAACATTATAATTCCTACTTGTCTTACTTTTAAATCCATGCATCTCTTTTCAAACCAGTGGAAGTGTTTTATTCTTCTCGTCAATTGCTTTTCTGCATTTAGCAATCTACTGATATTATAAAGAGGACATTGTCGGAGGAGGATCTCGCACGAGGCAAGTCGAAAAAGTCCGGACCTCCTTCTCAACATTATAACTTTCTTCGTAATTTTACAATTCTAATGGGTTCTGAAGAAATCGCTGGAGGCAGTCAGAGTTTGGTGCAAAAAGAACTTTACTTCATCAACGACACGTCCGAGCAGACCCCGGGATGGTACTAGCTAACCAAACATCGTTTTAGCATTTTATAACTAAGCCTTCTTGTTTCTTATTGGTTGACCTTGATGAAAGTCGCTACGCCACTCCCCGACTCTTTGTTGTAACTTTTTTCCGCATGCGTTTCATTATTTCTCCGCGTACGTGCCTGTAACTCTTTTTGCTAACAATTATTTTACTTCCGCACACGTGGCCTGGAGGCGTTCCGTCACATTGACCGCTTCACGACCTCCACCAAGGCTCACCATCAAGTGAGAAGGAGTTCTACTCTCTGAGGTCTTGCTTCTTACACACCATTTTGCTCAACTTTAACTACCACAATAGTTTTTACTTTTTACATTACATAACCCTTATTTGATGTACTATATGTTATAACCGGCCCGTAGGCCACAACAGGAAAAGAGAGAGACGTCCGAGGGTTCCAAAAACCACGGCACTTTTATTGTGCCGATTCCCAAAATAACACCGAGAACATGAGAGGATGGGCGAGGGGAAAGGATCCCGGCGAGAGCCTTCCTGCAGCGGGCTTGGAGAGAGTCACGGAGGCCATGTGACTCCGGGCAGCTTAAGCAGCACCTCGGCTCCGGCCAGGCGCCCATTGTTCAGGTTCATAGTTGTATTTTGATTTAGAGATATCCCGTCCCTTAGCCAATAGAAGCGCACGTGTTGTGTCATTATCAGTCAAAGTCAACTTTATTGTCAATCTCAAAATATGTTTTGTACACACAGAAAGATCGAAATACTGTTTCCCACAGTCCCGAGGTATAAAAAAACACATTCAAATACAAGAACACTCAATAATTACAAAGAAACCACAAAATAACCGTTCACTTCAAAAGCAAGCAGGATATATATATTAAAATAATGATGTCCAGGAAGTAAAAAGAAAAGAAAGGAAAGTCTAATTTTTTTCCTGCATGCTTTTGACTCGTTGCATTCCTGCATTTCATCTCTCTCCTTTTTGTTTCTGTACATCTCATTACACCCACAGTTTCTAGACATGCGTCCCCTCTCTCCTCTCCTCTCCTCTCCTCTCCTCTCCTCTCCTCTCCTCTCCTCTCCTCTCCTCTCCTCTCCTCTCCTCTCCTCTCCTCTCCTCTCCTCTCCTCTCCTCTCCTCTCTTCTCCTCTCTTCTCCTCTCTTCTCCTCTCCTCTCCTCTCCTCTCCTCTCCTCTCCTCTCCTCTCCTCTCCTCTCCTCTCCCTCTCCTCTCCTCTCCTGCAGATGAAAATCTCTATTGAACCTCGGTTTCATTTATCTTGGTATAATTACAATATATAGCCATTCACTTCACCCACCCACCACCTCCTCCTCCTCCTCCTCCTCCTCCTCTTCCTCTCAGTGCATTATGAAGCTGCCGGCGAGATGTGACAGACCCCTCTTTGATGTGTTCAATAGGCACAAATATACTAATTACCCTTGAGATTTTCAGCGCGTTGTGTTCAGGAGAAAACGACTCCCTTCTGCAGAGAGGCGCTGTGTTGTTTTACTCCATCCTGCCAAAGTGTTCCTCTGGAAAACGAGCCCACAGCGGGGTGCGATTCATGCGTTTGATGCGCCGCGGTCACGCACGGATGATAATAGATTTGAGTTTTGTAGACAGCGAGGTTCTGAACTTCGTCAAGTGCGTTAGCTTTGTCTCTGCAGAGGCGGCATCGCTTAGAGAGAGACATGAGAGGAGAGAAATGAAGTGTGGCTGGTGTTTCGTTAAGTATTCATTTGGTGTGTGGGCCGCCGTCTGGTCACACTGATTACTGAGTGTACTATAATGTAGACACTTGTAAGTG